GCGAGGGGCCACGCGGCGAACTGCGGACGAGACGCACAGAGGTAACAAAAAACAAAACGGAACGAAAGCAAAAACAACAAAAAAAAGGAAAAAAAGGAAAAAAAAAAGGAAAAAAAAAAAGAAAGAAAAGAAAAAGAAGAGAAGGGAGAAAAAGAAAAAAGAGCGAAAGGTAATTTAAATATAGATGGGGTTTGTCATCGTTTATTTTCTTCCTTCATCGAAAAGAAAACGGAAAGCAAATAAATTAAAAACTCAAAAACCGAAACCAAACAAAAAAAAGAAACTTCAAATAAATTTTTACTTCACAAACAATATATAGAATAGAGACATAAAAGCGATATTTCATAGCAACAGGGTTCCATTGATCAAGATTAGACCCATCACAGCACAGATAAATACACAAAAATTTATTAGCAATTTCTCATCTTTACTGGCAAGAGCTGGCCTGGCGAGCGTCGAAAAATCTCCTCCGCAGGCGCTGGGGCCCCCAGCTCCCCGCTCCACACCCCGGGCAGCCTGCTCCTCCCTCGGCCCGTGGCTCCCACACCCCCTCCTCCCCGCTGGGAAGGGAAGAGCCCCTCCAGCACGGGGCCCGGGGGTGCTCCGGGTGCCTCCCCCTCTCCCACCGGCCGCTCCGTGCCCGAGCGATGCTCCGAGGCGGGGCGGTGGCGAGGGGGAGGTTGGGCTGGAGATGGAAACTTCTCAAGGTTTTTGCCTTGTTGGACCCGGAGAATTCAACAAAGAGAGAAGTGTCGCATTGCCCCATGCCACGGAGACGCCACTCCAAACGTGAAAGGGGCAAAAATCTTTCAAAAGGGAGGAGAGGGAGTCCCCGGAGCGGGACAGAATTTGGTCGGTGTCTGCGTGTGAGGACCGTCCAGGGGGAGGCAGTCCCCCTGGAGCAGGAAGGAATGTGCAAAAGATGAGAAACTCTAATGAAATTTTTGTGGTTTTCGGGTATAAAAACCCTAACGAAGCCTCTTTAAGATCTGACACGGTTCCATCGATAGATGCAGCTCTCAGAGTCACAAACATCATGCAAAATAGGTAAAAAAGAGAGAGAGAAAAGAGAGAAAGAGAAGGAGAGAGGAAAATGCAGAGAAATATAATCTATGGGCGGCTAGCAAATGCCCACATGGATACTGGGTAGAAAGTGAGCGACAGAGAAAGGAAGGAAGACAAGGAGAAGGAGAACAAGGAGGGGAAGGGAGAAAGAAGAGAGAGAAAGAGAGGGAGGGGAGGGGGAAACCCACTTTAATGCTGCATACTTTTTCTAGCTGATGTGACCCAATGTGGTGGCTCACATTGTCACATCTCAGCCCTGGCGGAATAATAAATAGAATAGAATTAATAAGAAAAACAAGGTAATGAAACTTTAACGTTGAGAAAACAGTGACATGTTCTGTGCATCTCCTTAGCAGAGAGGTGGATGCAGCTTCCAGACCTTACACAGTAAGAACATGGACGCAAAGGGGAGGCTGTGGTTTCCTTGGCTCCATTTTCTGAACCAGCTCTGCTGGCCGAGGTGGGTGCTCTTCCTCAGGGGGTGAAGCAGGAGAAGGGACCAAGGAGAAAGGCAGGTGGATAGGAGGGGTCGTGGGGAGGGAGCCGAGGGCAAGGTCTCATCCCACAAGCAGAGACACAAGGATACAGAGCCCGAGAGGATGCAGGCACAGCAGCAGGATGAAGAGAAAAGGAGCGTGGGGTTCCTCCAGCTTCAGAGGCAGCCATGCAGTCAACTGCCCGCGGGGAGGGTGGGTGAGGGGGCAGAGTCAGGAGTGAGGGGGGCCTGAAAATATCTGTCCCTGCTGTCCTATTGCCAGGCAACCTCTCTGAACAGCCTCTAGAACATGAGTGGCAGTTGCATCCATGCAAAAGCAAGGCAAAGGACATCAGAGCTTGGCCAGCCATTGCTCTTCCCAGTCCTTCTTCCCTTACAGCCCCACTTTCCTGGCTGCTGCTCAGCGTTAGGGATCTTTTCAGCTGGGAAGGGCACTCCCAGGAGAGATAAATCGTTTCCATTCTCTGTGGGGCTTTGTTGAACAGAAGCCACATACAGCCAAGGAGAAGTCTCCACAGAAAGCCATGCTCTTCCTATGTGTATCAGATCCTTTCCTGCACGGTTACCAGTACTGAGAGGCAAGGAAGAGAAGACTTCCTTAGGGGCTCAGAGGTGTCCAAGGAGAATTCCTGCATGCATGGATCTGCAGAGAGGATGGAGAGCATGCCCTCACCTCCAGCGTGGCTGGGGCAAGGTCTGGAGTGTGGAGGAGGTGACTTCAAACTCAGCTGGACACTAACACTAGAAGATGACTTTCTGCTTAGAGAACAGCGCAAGGAGACTACCACAGTACCTGCACCAGCACTGGCTCGAGAGACCAGGCAACATGCTCCTTCCTGTCCCTATGGAAGACTTTCAGCCCTAGCCATGAGGGTCCTTGCTGCCTCCTCCACCTTTCTACCCACTGCCTGCTTCAGGAGGTACCGTGGTTCAGAAAATGGAGCCACGTGAACACCACACCGGTCACAATCTGAGACAAGATGGAGAGAACTTGAAAAGAAACAAGTGGGATCGACATGCAAACAGATCTGGGGTGGGGATGACTCTTTTGAGGAGGGGCTGACATGTAACCTTCTGGAGAGGGGAGGCAAGGTGGGAAGAGGTGAGGAGAAATGGGGGAGACATACGCCGGACAAGATCCGGCCAGCAAACAGCATCAACAGCAACAAACAACGGCAAGTGGGATGCAAACACTGAGTTGTCATGGAAACAGAACAAGACAATTAATTCAAACTGAGGCTAATCACAAAGAAATAAAACTGAACTCAAAGGAAAAAAAAGAAAAAAAAAAGGAAAAAAAGAAAAAGGAAGAACAAACCAGAATTTAACAACTGAAAAGCATCATTTGATGTCTGGTGGAGTGCTGAGAATCGGAGTCTGAAGGGAACAGACCGCTGCTGCCTGCCAGGCTTTGGGCAGGCAAAGGAAAAGATCCACTCACAAAACACAAGCTCGGGGCCAGGGAGCTGGAGCTGTGCAGAGCACGCTCCTGAGTCACTGCAGAATGTTCCCCCCAACCCCCAGAACCCAGGGCTTTGGGTCAGCTCCAGGGGGTCTCAGGGCAGCATCCCTTTTTGGCTGTTTTAATGGCATTTGTCACGTTTAACTAAGGGGAAGCCACCAGCACATCTGGATGCCAGCCCAGAACAATGGGCAGTCTGAGGCAAGGGAGAATTTGGGTTCTGGTTAGCAGCAGGCTGATGTGAGACCAGAACAAGGCAGAAGCACTTTGGTTGTGCATCCTGGTTTAAAAAAAGCTACACACTCCTGTGTGTGCACAAATCTACAAACGTCCACACACCAGGCTAGGATGTGAAAATCACTCCAGCATTAAACATCAGAGATCTTGGAGAGTCAGTCCCTAGATACAGCCCTGCTATGGCTCAGGGCTGTGACAACTGCATTTACTGTAACAGAAGAGAAATACTTTGAGGGCTCATCTCTGGGTACCAAGAACCATCATGCTGCTGTTTATTTTAATTGCTATACCACTCTGATTTGGCTGCTGACATGAGATTTGTCAAGCTGATAATCTCTGGGTCAGTGTTTAGGTCAGAGCCTAGGAGGAGGAGAGCGGTGGGGGGAAGAAAGCTTGAAGTGCAGCTACAGATTCAATCAAGAACAATTTCAGCTCTGGGCCCAGCTGGGTTTCACACACAGCAGCTGAAAGAGTGGAATTTTACATGTGAAAAATGCAGTGTAGAGATTCCTTCCATTTTGCCATCCCACACATTCAAAGGACCGGAAGGAAGGGAACAACTGCCCTCTCTGGACAGGAAAAGTTGGGATGGGGCAGTCAAGGCTCTACTTTATAGACACTTCTCTAATACTTTTACCAATTTCTGGTTTCTGGAAGCAGCTTCCCTGAGTTTCAGGGATGTCTGGTTTCCACGACAGCTCTGTCAGACCTGGTTTACGAAGCCAACCTTGCATGCGTACACATATGTGCATGCTCCATGTGCAACACTTCCCCATATACACACACAAGCAGGCACACACAAACAAACATTTTCAATGGCCAAAAAACTCTCAGGAGCTTTTTTCAAACAAGGACACAGCTTCTTACTGAGAGAACCAGATTTTAGAACTGGAGCTGGACGTTTGTGATGCGAGTCAAATTACTTCATTACTTCAAATTACTGCACAGTTTAAGTGCAGTTAGTTGTGTGTTTGTTTAATATTGTCTCTTGGGTATTCCACACAGGCAAATCTGCACCTCAGATTCAGCTCAATATGAATTTCTTTAGAATCTGAACGGTTCCATAACTTTTCACCCCCTTATAAAGCCAATTGGTTTTGTTGCTGCTCATGGAGGGGTTAACCCAACTTGTGTTCTGTGAGTGGCATTTTCAGTGCATTATTCTTTCCAACAAGAAGGTCCCAATCAACACTGCTAAGGTTCCCCACCACCACCACTGGGGTCAAAAAGAGAGCTGGGGTCCACCAAGTGAGAGACGTTTTTGAAACGCACAGATTTACAGACCTGATCGAAGCGGAAGAGACACTGGGAGATCCAGGGTTGACTTTTGCAACACCAGAATCCATCCTTAAAATGTGTTCCCAGGACGCTGCTAGTGAGAGAAATCTGAGGACCAACCAACCAGTTTGTGCTGAGGAAACCCACCGGTTCCACTTTTTTAAACCCCTTCAGATTAGCTCGGGGAGAAAGAAACCGTTGGAGGTGGATCGAGGTGGGGAAAAGGAGAACGAACCAGACAAGACCCCGTCGCTTCAAACCCCGATTCACACTGAACCAACTCAAAGAGAAACGTATCTCATAGCTTAAAGAAGAAGTTAATTGAAAAAAAGGAAACAAAAGAAAGTGAAGTGACTGGTCGAAAGCACCAAACAAAACCAAATGGTATTAAACATTTTGACACTCAGCAAGCTGCTGCTCCGAATGAGGTGAGAAGGCGGACATTATTGGCCATTTTGGGGAGACAGGACTCGTTCTGTCTT